GTAAGTTCAGCTTCAGAATGTCTCATTCACTGATAAAGTGTTATTTATGTCTTCTGATGCTGTTTTTACCTTAAAAAATTAGTTCTATATTAAGGTCTCTGTAAAATCCTGATAGGAATATTATTGCTAAATTCCAGTACGACATGGTAAAACCAATTCAACATTATGGTTTAAATCTGTTATCTACCTCATCTGAATGTTTTGGTCCCTTTATATGTGCACTAGTTGCAAAAATGTTATGCGCTACTAAAATACAATTGACTAAATTATATGTAACAAGCTATTAGAAACAATAATTTTCACACTCCCATGGGTAGTCGTCTCATGTCACATTTTAATATCTGAGTGCAGCAATTGTTTAAGCTTGAAAATCTGAATGTGTCTGAAAAGCACAACAGTTATTTCATTGTGTTAAAGGCAGTCTTATCATTACAAATGTGATTATTCATATTTTTACAATTAATTTAGGTATGATGACAAAAATAAACAATTTGCAATATTAGTCATCCAGCTGAGTAATGTTCCTGCTCTGCTGTTGCATCAAGATCAGAAAGTGTAAGTAGATGAAATAAACGTTCTAGAAATATTTGTAATATAGACATCAGTGGGATCACACACACTGTGTTTATTTTTCTAGTTCATGTAATGCTTTAGTCCTCTAAGCACTTCCCAATTTTATCTTATATTTACTATCACTTATGGGCTCCTCCACCCATATATCAAAATTAAAAATTCACTTTTACTTATGATGATGTTTGTTAATCATCCTTAACTGTATATATTTACTAGAAAAAGCTTTTAGGGAATTAACAACTAACAGTGCCACTGAGTAAAGGTTACATTTGTTTTACAATATAAGTCATGCCTGAACACACTTACAGATGAACTAATGTGGGAAAAATTTGACCGTGGAAATTTGTCAAACTTGAGCACGAGTAGAACCAGATAAAGGCTTTGCTAATGGCTAATTTAGTCTCTATAAGTTAGAGCTAAAAGGATCCACAGCACCTTACGGACTTATTTCCATCTGTGTAAGGTGATGTTACTAGTATGTCACACTCACTGCACGTGTATAAATTATTATTATAAGAATCTTGATCTCACACTTACCAAGATACATGTATCACAAGAACTGAAGTGGGGTGAAAACCAGGAATACAGTTGCCACCTTCACGCTTCGGTGATTTCTGAACTCCCTGGTGTAACTCAAAGCATCCTCAGGACAAGTCTAACCCATAAAGTCCTTCCGAATGCAGAACATTTTAGCAATTCCAGTAAAGGAGGAATGGATTGGACAGGAAATAGAAATGGTAAACTAATACATAGATAAGTGAACAAATTACAGTGAGTGGGGGGGATGCGCTGTTCTCACAGTAGATTGTTTAAAGATAAGCTCATAATAGATACTTTACAGAAGGATTATAGCAGCACTAATTAAAGTATTTTTCAATAGGACTATTCGTGTGGCTGTTCTTCCTTGCTCTGAAAGCACGAGCTGTTTGTTTCGCACAAGACCCATGGACGTTTCCGACAATGTTATATACAGTGAAATATTTTGGGTTTCAATCTCTTACGCTGCTTTACGTCAGAAGACTTTAAGAGTTGATGTTTGCACTGTAAATAAGTCCCACCTCGAGGAGTGCCTGGTTAGCATTCATTTCTGTTGAATCTTTTTCCTATTTTCTGTTTTCAATTTAACAGGTATCTAGCGTTTAAGAAATGTAAGATTTGGCTGCTGTTAGGCAATCTTCCTATATTGCCCTCAGCTGCAAGATCCTTTAGATATGACCATTCTCTATGTTGGAAAATCCCAGTTATAGCAAAGGGTATCCAGTAGATAAATATTTACATTACAAAACCATTATGGGGTTTTACCTGACTCTGCCAGACTCAGTTCATAAGGAGAAGACAATTTGAGCGTGATTTTTTAAGGAAATGTTTTGTATAATGTAGTTGCAAACAAACTCCTTTGTTTATAAGATTTTAAAACCAACCTATAGACTTTTGTAATAAAGGGGAATCTCTATTAAATTTCCTAAATTTCATAAAATTACATGAGAAATGACCATTCTTTCAAATTCTGTAGATTAACATAATTTATTAAGAATTATGACTTTTCTTAAATGTTTTTTAGTTTGCGTCTTGCTTCCCTAGTCCAGCATTATGTTAGTAAACAAGCTGGTTACTGCGGAATTACTTCTGGAGTAAATTACTACTTAATGAGCGTGTCTTCATGTGCTGTTCATGTAAAGCATTAAACTCTGGTACCATTCACACCGAAGTTTATTGCTCCCGGGTGCTGCGTTTAGACATGCACCCAGGATTGCAGCACATTGTGCCAGGTCAGAGCAGCCTCAGCTGACAGGGGCCCGAGGGGGTCAACCTATCAGCCTGGGGCTGCTCCGACCCAGTTCAAAGTGCTGTGGAGGGGCTGGCTGGGGCACAAGGGTGTATTAGTGCAGGGCTAGCCAGCAGGCAGCCTCCTCGCTGAAACATCCTCATAACCCAGCTAGCCCAGTCAGCATCCACATGTGCATCTAAATAACACCACCATGAATAGTACTCGTGTTTACAAGTACTTATCCTATGGTGGCATTTATTAGTGTATTGCACCCTAATAGGGTCACATGTGTAGATGCTGAGATGTTACACCAGAGTTAATTCACTTTGCAGTAAACGTCTTGTGGAGGCATATCCAATGTGAGTAACATTTTCAAAACTAAGTCCAGAGTCACTGCAAAGAAACAGAAATGTAAATTCTAGTTGATTTTTTTTTTCCAAGACTCTTTCATGCATCCCTTAACAGATGCTGTTTTCTACATATGCTTTTGGCAGTTCCCAGCCCCCCTATTTGTGGTGTTTATGCATTGCTGCCTTCACCTGAAAGCATACTTTAACTAAAGAAATAACATCTACATTCAAAATAAGGATTTCCCATTTGGCAGCCCCCACATTTCTAATGTACGTGCTTGGGCAACCTCAAATTGGGCTAAATTTAATTGCAGGAAATCTGTTCAATGTAAAATAAAACTAACCCAGTTGGGCAAATAGCATACACTGAGATGCAGATAATATACTTTGCAATAGTTACACTTCCATGTATCTGTCCTGAAACATTAACAAAAAAAAAAAAAAGAAAACTGAATGAGGATTACCAATGGATAGAATAAGAATGGACATAAAAGCGAGTGGAATCTTTAGTTCTGAACTAAAGCAATTCTGCCAGCCCTGGGAGGTTTCCTGAAATGGATTTTTCTTCCATATTTGTTTAATTCTTTCTACATGAAATAATGTGTGCAAGTTACCATGGCTGCAGCATAATTGTTCATTATTCTTGATGCTTATTTATACACAGCAGCTGAAGTGAATCTTTCTATTCTTGTACTGGAAGCTCCTAGCAATATGGTTCAATTAATTTAGTATCATTTAACTATCACCATTCTGATGTCTGAAATGACATAAAAATGTGAATTGTTGGTGATATTTTATTTTCTAGACAAGTGAACCATAACCTCCTGAAATCTTGGTTCTTCTGCTGTTACATGTTCCCGTTGGGATTTTATTGTCACAGTCTCCTCGCTCTGATATTACACATCAGCTCTTTTCTTGCTTCCATATAGGGCGGAGCACAGATTAGTCTTGCTGAGATATGTAGATCGGGAGAGAAGTCAACACGTTGGTACAACCTTCTTAGTTATAAATATCTACAAAAGCAAAGCGTAAAAAATAAACAAGAGGACATCTGTTCTGAAGAATCCTGCGCTGAAAAAACAGTAAGGACAAATGCTGTGAAAGGAAGCTAGAAAAACTGCATTTATAACAATACTAAACTCATTGAAGAGAATGGTAGGCTAGAAATTTAAAAAACCGCTGTGTTTTTGTGCGATATTTTTTAAATGTGAAAGTTATAATACATGGAGTAATAAAACTAAAAGCTGTATGAAGGGTGTAACCTGATGTTTATATATATTTTTTGGTCTATTATGAGTAATGTGAATCAGTTACACTGATGTGGAGTTTAAGAATAGGTTTTAAATGCAACCTTGTCCTCTAACAGGACTCTGTATCAGCTCTGCTGGAACGGACTGCTGTTGAACTGGAAGCGGTAGAGAAGAAGCTAGAAGAAAGCAGAAGCACTTTAACTAGTGGAGAGACTTGGTAGGTGGTGTTTGGCATCTTTTGCTGAGTGTATCATTTAGTGGATTCTGTGGGTCTGAAGGAAGCAGTGCTTCCTTATGTGAAGATGTCAACATTTTTTTAGAGTTGAACTTTGGAATGTGTTGGGTGGCTGAGAGGAGTTCTTGAACTTTGCTTGAAGCTTACTTCTGACATCTGTTTCTACAACAGTAAAATCACCCTGTAGCCACAGGGACCGAAAATATGTTTGGGTAGGGAGAGTGAAAGCTGGCAACATTAAAAAATGGAGGATATGTGGTTTGTAGTGCCTTATTGGCAAATGTGAAAATTCATTTTCCAGTTCAAAGGATTTGCAAGGAAACCCTTTTTATCATTTGTGGTTTACATGCATCTGTATTTCACTGAAATTCAAAGCAGAGCCTGGCCTACTCCAAAAAATCCCTCAAAAAACTGTCTGGCTTGATGAAGAATCTACTGAAGTATATAACTGAGCACAGATTAGCTGAAAGGTTTAAGATTACTGTTTTGTGGTGTATAGTTCCAGCTTTCAAACTCAGAGAACCTGGGGTTTGACCATACTTTGAAATTCAGCCTCCTTTTATGCACCTTCCATTTGGGTAACACTTAGCCATATCCAGCATAAAAGACTCCGTACAAATGTATTCAACCGTAGCAATTGCTTTACTGTAGAAGATGAGAAAAATCCAATTAACTATCTTAGTGCTGTTTCCTGTATTCCTACCCATAACATTTTGTTATTCATGTTTCCTGGAGTATCATGATTTTTGTTATACATGCATACAAATCACAGCACTAAAGGTGCATTTGGTTCCACATACCTGGGACATGAATTAGCATCAAGAATGCTAATAGGATATTGGGTCCATCCCAATAACAGAAGCAGTTTATGTGGCAGGCAAGATGAAGATGTTGCTGAGCAAGAAGAACAAGATGGGAACAGTGAGAATGAAGCAGAAGAGGAAGAATTCTATGCCGTAAAAGCACTCTGGGATGCAGAAGAGAATCCAGAAATCCAGCTGCATTCTGAGTTGACAGCAATAAAGGTAAAGTGCAGAATTATGGTGCCTCCACTGGGCGACTAATAAACACTTGCACACTGTGCTGTTTTGGCTCCACTAACGACACAACAGGTTACAGTTAAATATTTTGTCTTTTCCCGACTTCTTAGGCAAAGATACAGAGTGTGCTGTTTCTTACAGCTACAGTTCTAACATCATAAATGTTTTAGGGGAAATAAAAGTAGGGAAGTTTGGTGGGATGACTTTCCAAACTGTATCATGTGTGAAAAACGTAGTGCTATTTTTGAAACATTTTTGACTATTTAATTTGCATTTTGCTTGCAGTAGGCAAAAAGACTTTTAAGAAACTTAGTTAAAGCAGATTCACCAAGTTAGCCTTGTTCTTTTGCAAAAGCCATTTACTTGTATTGTGACCATGTAGCTTCTGCTATTGCACTGTGACCAAAATAAAGCCCCAAAAACCTCTCTAGTATTTGTTCAAGCAAATCAGGAAATCGGGTCATTGAAGGTGCTTCCTTGTACAGTTACGTGATTTGCTTGGGCAAATACAAGAGGTTGTTGATGCAACAGGCCTATATGTTTGTATGAAATTTGTTTAAAGAGAAAACACCGTGAATTTATTGGTACAAAATGTTCCTGCAAAAAGGTTTTACCTTTTCGCCCGTTTAAGGTTTTGTTTAGGACTTTGCATGTCACTGGCTAAATGAAATTTTAGAATTCTATAGAGAACCACACTATTTTGTTTGGATCTTCATATTTCCTGGCATCATCCTTTTTCCTTTTCTCAAATTTTTTTGGGGGGTCTATATTGATTTCCAATACAAAGTTGACTAGACTAACATTGAATTAAGCAGTTACTTGAAAGTTTTTGATAGTGCCCTATTTCAAATAATAGTTGAACCTCAAGGTTAAATAACGTTCCCTTTAATGAAGCATTGTTTAATCCAAAATGTCTTTTGTCCCCTGGTATTGCAAAGAATTCCTCATTGACTGTTTTAATTGGCTAATGTTGTCAGCCAAAGTAACTAGCATTTTGGATCTTATGATGCAGTTCTGAATGCAGTCGTTGGCTAACCACCACCCGCTTAATCACGGGTTTGTTTGAATGGTGATTTTTGTGCTGAAATTGGTTTGTTTTTTCCTGCCAATTCTGGGTGTTCGGTAAAAATGGATAGGTATATTGAAGGGATAATCTAACGTGCAGCATTTAATCTGTTACACTGGCGTATTGTATACCTGAAAAGTTCGGTGGAATCATTCTGTTTACACCAGTCAACCAAGTTGTTGGGAAATGGTGATACAGTTGTTGAACTCCTCCATAAGTTTTCTCACAAGTGCAATACTAAAATGTATTGCGTAGGCAGAATCAAGTGCCACAGCTTTGTCTGTTCCCTCTGAATCTGAAAGAACAAGTGGGATTTCAGGCTGCAACACAGAAAGGTTGGTAGTCAGTGCCAGGTGGTAGTATGGGTGTGTTGGTGAAGTGGCACTTACATCAAAGTAGTGTTTTTGCTTTTTCTTTCAGGTGGATAAAGAGACTAATACAGAGAGCCCTGCACAGTCTTCTACTGTAGTACGTCCAAAAGATAAAAGAGGAGCTAATCCACCACAAACACAGTTTATTAGAGGTAGTACCATCATCCGCTCAAAAACATTTTCTCCAGGACCACAGAGTCAGTATGTGTGTCGGGTAAGGAAAACACAGCCCCAGGTTTCATAAATGTTGGCCTTCCTAGGATGTCTGTACAGTAGTCGATTTTGTTATGTAATAATAATCTGCACTGAAGGTTCAATCCAGCAGATTGCTGAGCACCTCCATTCCATTCCCCTTCACATGGGAACTGAGGTGGGCTTCTCCCTTAACTGGCATCTTTCATCAGATCACTATAGAGCACTTTACAAGCATTAATTAACTGTGGTATATGATACAGAGGGATCAGTATACCCACCCTTGAAATACAACTACCTTGGCAGCACATGATTGCAACACAATACAGGTCAAGAAGTGGCAAGAGAATGGATGTAACTGAAACCCTAAGATGAATTTAGGTAGGCTTAATTGGAACTTGGCCAGGAGCCTGGCCTTGTAAAGGAAAATATATAAAGGGGTCATATTCTCACTTTGCCATCCCGTGCAAAAGAGTTGGTATGTTAGTAAAATGGCATCCCTTAACTCCATATGAAGATGTTATTGACAGACATTACAGAAACAGCTGATTATTCAACCCCATATAATTAGCCACAGATCTATAACAGTCCCAGTAAGCCAGCTTCCAGAAGGAAATGCCAGCACACTCAGACTAATATGGCCTTCCATTCTTTTGTTCTGGTAGCGAACAGGCAGGATAAATTCCTCATGGACTTCCAGACAACTTCCTCATACAGAACTTCTGTACCTGCCACTGGTTATCCCATGTCTGCATGACCGTAGTCCCACTACTCTGCTTGTAGTCTTGGCCTAGAAATGCCACTCAGCACGGGAGGTTTCCTCCACAATTAGAACCGGTTTACATTCCTTACTTAAGGAAGGACAATGTACTGCTTTCTCTATCCCTCTCCCTATCTTACAAGTTACTAATTCATAGAAGTTAAGGATGGAAAAAATCTGTGTTGCTTTAATTGACACAATATTGTCCACTATTTTTATTTTTCTTGTTTTGTGTAGGGTAGAGGCAAGGATTTGTGGTGATACCTTTTATTGAGCCAAACTGCATGGTCAGGATAGATTTAGATAAGCTTTTCAGTGCAATTTATCCTTTTTTAGGTCAGTGGGATTAAGCTCTGATTGTGCTTAGTTCTAATGGAAGGTATCATCCCTTGCCAACTTTTCCCAAACAGAAATTTGACAAGATTGGGGCGAGGGTGGGCTGGGAACTATAGCAAAATAATTTGTCCCATGATCGTAGTTTTGGGCACTGGAAGGATGTCATTGCAGTGTTACAATGGTTTGGTTATTGTATAACTATGTATCTTTCTACACATTGGCTGTAGTGCATCTAAGCAGTGTCAAACTGCCCATTTGTTTCATAATGATTTTTTTTTTATTTTCAGCTTAATCGTAGTGATAGTGATAGTTCAACACTGTCCAAAAAACCACCCTTTGTGCGAAATGCTATGGAGAGACGGAGCGTCAGAATGAAACGGGTAAAACCTTTGGCTTACTGATTCTTTCCTCAACAGACACTCAAGAAAGCCAATAAATCTTTAACACACTTGTTTGAGTTGCCAGCTGACAATTCAATTTATTAAAGAAGGGCTAGCAAACAGCATGTTGATTGCAAAACACTTAGTTCTGACCTACCACTTTAAAATGTTCCCCTATGGGCCTAAAGACCCTTTTTTAGCCTGTCAAATGATAATGGAAATGTCTGCTCCCATTTTTTTTGTTGCTAGCACTCTCAGAATACCCCTTTGAAAAAAATTCCCCCTCAATATTTAGAAATATTTATTAAATATTTAGATATACAATATTTAAATTTGACATGTACATTGTGCTCATAGGGTAGAAACTGATGTCACTAAACCAGAGCGGATCAGCTGTGGAAGAATGTGTTCCACCACAGCCAACTCACTTTAGTGAGCAAAACACATGTCAACCCTTGTCCTGCACTAGTCTGTTGTCCTCCCTTGCTTCCCTGCAGCTTCTTGTTGGGACCTGTGTGTCCAGGTGAAGGAGTTTGGCACAGGTCTCAACAAGGAGGTACAGGGTAGTGCAGGAACTGGGCAATTCCCAGCATCCCATGCCCCCGCGCAGGGATCAGCTCTGGGTCCTGCACCACCCATGCTTCACACAGAGGTATGGGAATGCCTGGCTCCTAAACTGCCCCATACCTCTATTCCAGGACCCATGCTGACCCATGCCCTGGCATGAAGTGTGGGTGGTACAGAACCCAGCTTGTGTGCCTCACATGGAGGCATCTCTGTAAGTGGGGAAATCCTGGAGTTTTTTTGCTTAAGGAGATGTGCCCCAAGATGTGTCTCTTTAAGCAGAGAAATTCAGTTGGGGGGTTTTGGGGATGTATCTCCATAAGTGGGTAAATATCAGCTTTCCTTGCTTACTGACACATGCTCCTAGGATTCCCTGGGATGCTTCTCTGTAAGGAGGGTAAGCCAAGCAGGTGCTCCACAGGCTAATGGGACCCAGTCCTGCTCAGAAATTCCCAGGATGTGCAGGGTTGGGCCTTTCAAGCTTCTGGAGCTCCTGCCCACAGTAGCTGGAGAGTATGGGCAGGTCCACCTGCGTGTGCTCTCCTTCCACCAAGCAAATGGATGTCTATTGCAATACAGTAGCATAGTATAGTAACACCTATGTTGCAGCTACAAATTTTGAACATCTGTGGCATGACAAAGTGCATGAACATCTTTGTCCAGGATAGGCAACTTCTGTTTCCACCCTTACCTGTGCACAAGGAATTGGTTGGACAAGTTCTAAAAGAAATTTTAAAAAGTGGTTTTCCAGATACTTGGAAAAATCTTTACTAGTGGTTTAACAGAGCTCAATGAAGCTCCACCCACATAATGGTAGATGGAAATACACACCTTACATAATCCTCAGTGCAAACTGTCCTGCTGGTGAGGTCAGGAGAGTCTATTGACCTGAAATGAATGTTTCTTGTTTTTGTGTTTTATTGCTGCCTCCTGTAATATTCTGAAAAGCGCTTAAGTGTTAAGGTAAAACTAGATTCTGAGCCCTACTCTACATTACAGATCTGCTGGGTAGCTCCTTACATTATAGCTGATGTGGTTATGTCAGCAGAACCCTTAGTTTTGGTGTGGACATTGCTGGCAGCTGAGTTGTAGCTGTTTTAGTGTTGATGTAATTCTGGGAACAGAAAAGCTCCCTCTCTAAGCTTCTGAGTATGATACATCTGCAGTGGAGACCTTTACTGTAAGATACGAGTATCCCACATTGTAGAGACAAGCCCTTAGTAAGGTGTGGGAGGAAAGTACTATTTATTTCACCCTGTTGCTATGCTAACTACAGTGCTAAATACAGACAGTCAAAAAGCATGGGGCTCAATCAGTTTGAATCTTTGCAGGTTAGTTTAAGCTGCATAGGTTGAACTGATATGAAGCAAGTGAACAGACATTCACTTTTGATTCTGGAAATGCCCCACATGCCTCCAGTGGCCCAGACCAGAAGCTGAGGTACTGTCAGTGAATTTGAATCTGGAGGGGATCTGGGACAGAAGTTCAATAAACTGATGTAACCTAAATCAGATAAGTCTGATACTACATCCATCTAGGTTTATCTTAAACCAGTTTCAGCCATTTTGGAAGCTGTTTATGTGCACTTGAACCTCTTTTGTATTACAGATTTAAACCAGTTTCTGTTCGGTTTGTGTGTAATTTCTGTCCCTAGAGGCCTCTGGCTTGCCTTTGATGTAACTAATGCTGTGGGAAACTGCTGCATGTGCAAGTTTATTTATAAGATGTTGAGGGACTGTGAAACTGCAGGTGAGCAGATGTTGCAAAGCAGAGCTGCCAAGAGTTTGGCCTTCGTCTCTAGAATACTGCACTCATGAGAGGGAAGGAGTATTAGGACATCTGAAACATATGGGGGCAGTTCTGTCATTCTTCATCACATTCATAAAACTTTTCCATTCCAGCCTTCGGTTAAGTCCTTTGGTGCTGAGCGTCTAATCCGCACTTCACTAGACCTAGAACTAGACCTGCAGGCTTCAAAGACCTGGCATGATCAGTTAGTGCAAGAGATCTCTGTATTGAAAGAGCTGAAGGAACAATTGGAACAAGCTCAAAGTCAAGGTGAAAAAGAGCTGCCACAGTGGGTGAAAGATGATGAAAGATTCCGGATTTTGCTGAAACTGGTAGAGAAGCGGGTAAGTAACTCAGGTTTTCAATGTATTTTACTAAATACATTTTTCCAGTGCACTGGAAACTGGGATGCCATCTTCCCAATGGTCAACTTGTTTGAGAGAGCCTTATATTGAAACTTCCATTTTATTAAGTAGTGGCAAGTAGAATTCTAGCATTACAAATACTAGACCCTTCCCTAACTCATTACTATGGATAGTGAGATAATACCATGTAACTTCCACTATAATCTCTCTCTTGGTACAAGGCAAGGAACCACAGGAGCCACTGGCTCCTGATTCTTGTCACCTAGCTTGCAGCTCCTTTCTTTTTACATGCTTTCCCAGAATTCTGCACATGAAGATTTAGTTTAACTTTTCAGGAACATGTAATAGTTGAAAAAAACACAGCGACTTTCTAACAAAAAAAGGCCTTTAAAGGTAGCTAGCATAAAAAGAATACAGATCTGTGAACCAATGTACATCATCTTGTGGACAAACTAGTAAATACATATATGTATTTTTCTGCTTCAGTTTCCTTCCTCCTCTTAAACATTCTTTGGGCTTAGGTCAGAGTTCTCTAAGGAATCCAGTTTCCCCACTCCTGCATATGACTTCATGATCATTGAGTCTCTCTCCTCTGCTGCCTGTTCTCTTTATCTGCTGGTTCTGCAGTTATAACCTTCTTTATTATGAAGGCATTCCCCCATGTTTCTTTCCCCCGCACCCACATTTTCTGTGTCCCTGACCATATTTCCCCCAAGTCTGTCAGGTTCTCTAGGTTTCTCTGGCATCGCATACAATTTTTCTGTTTCTGAGGCAATTTCATTTCTTCCAAGCTACCCTTTCCAGACCAGCTTGACTGGACTGGTTTCCTAGGTTTCAGTCATCCAGTTGGGCTCTTTGGGAATCGAGGTTTAAAGGCTACCTGCCACCCCTGACCTGGGAGATCCATGGTACCCATTTAACAATGTATGGCAGAGTCCACAAACATTGCAGGACTCGATGCAATTTCATAAGAGCGTCTAGAATTCCTAATTGGTACAGAACACATTTTGGAAATTTGTCATATGAATTTTGCTGCCAGCATACACTGGGGATAATAGCAAAGTAGAGAAGCTTAAGGCTTTATGTAAAACTTTATAGTAGGTGTTCAGTTGGAATGGAAGTCTTGTGTGTCCTACCTGATCAACAGGAAATGATTTAGGAACAATAATCATGCAACTTAATGCTGGCACACAGGGATGGTACTGAAGGCCAGCCTGGGGTAGAATGTTTTTCTTCCATCTTATTAAACCTGCATGATTTCTGTGTGACAGTTCTAAAAGTACCTACTGTCAAGGGGTGGCTTACAAGGCAGTGATGAAAAGGGTGTTGATAGAAACGGGAAATAGTGTTTTAGTACAAAACAATTCTGTTTCTCTATGAAGAGTCTTTCTGCTTGAAATGCATTAACATCTCGCTATAGAGTCTTAACAACAGTGGAATAAACAGACTTCCAACAGACTCTCCAGACCAGCTTTTGAAGCACTGTTTTGGTCCAGCTTCTGTGGTTCATAACTCTATTCTTGATATTGTCAGAACCTCTTTCTATTTTCCTCCTTCAACTTGCAAATAACCTCTTGATGTGATGAGCTCGTCAGTGTAAGGTAGAATTGATTGGTATCTTTTATGTTGCACATAAGATTGTACTCTCTTTATGACTCAATTAGGCACAGAAAACAGAACATAAGTGTGAGCTGAAAGCTGATAAAATGATGAGAGCAGCAGCCAAGGATGTACACAGGTTACGAGGACAAAGTCGGAAGGAGCCCCTGGAAGTCCAGTCATTCAGGTAGGACCATCTTTAAAGGACAAAACACTGCTGCCAAAAAATCCCTACCATTTTGTTCTAGGCAGTTTCACTTAGCACCAACTGAACAACACTTTGCAACAAACAGTTTGAGTTGCAGGGTTGTTTGTTTTTTTTTTTAAATATCCTAGGATAAAATCCTGGATTTACCAAAATCCAGCCCCAAAGCTTGTATTGATTTTGGTGGCAGTAGGATTGGACTTGTGTGCTGTCCTTTTCAGGCAGTAGCACAATACCACTTAGTTTTTGAGATACCTTTGTTCCAAGGCATTCATTTTCTGCTGCCTTACTATAATATAAACTTATAAAACCAAAATAATATGATAGGGTGCTTGTACACGCGATGGGGGTTTAATTCAGTTTAGTTCTCCCTAACTTGAAATGGTGGGTTTTTAAAAAGTGTTTTAAAAACCCACCATTTCAATTTAGGGAGAACTAAACCAAACTAAATCCCCATGGCATGTACACAAGGGTAGGGGCCTGATTTAAGGATCAGGCCCCTACCTGTCTCTCCCACAGCTGAGTGGGAGGCAGGGGGTGAGCTGCCGGTGGGCTGTGAGCGGTCCCTGAGCTGCAGGGGGGCCGGTGCTCCCCTCCATGGTGGTGCCTCCCAAGCGGCACTTGCCTGCTGGCATCCAGTCCAGGGAACACCCCAGTCGTGCAGGGAAGCACTGGGCCACCACACAGCTCAGGCAGGCAGGCTCCAGAAGGAAAAAAAAATTGACATCAGCAATCACTTTTTTTGGCTGATGTTGCCAATATATTTTGTATGAATGTGCGCAGCTGCAGCATGCACACGGCCAGTGCAACCCAGCAGCTTGGAGAGTAGCATATGACTGGTAAGTCTATGTGGAGGAAGGAGCCTGGGGGACAGATTGAGGCCCCTGGAGTGAGGGAGGGAGTGGGGCTGGGGCAGGCGCTGCCCAGCTGGAGTAGGGCAGGGTGCAGGGTAGAGCTGTGGCTTGTCCAGGGAGTGCAGCTCCTGCCACTGTGCACCGTGCGGGAGGCATGGGGATCACATGCTCCTGGATCTGTGTGCAGTGTGAGGGCGGGCTGTTGCTGTGGACTGGAGCTGGAGGCTGCGCCAGGCTCTTCCTGGCAGCTGTGCTTGGGCCAGGTGAACAATGGTGATGCTGAGAGGGGGAGCTATGGCAAATTCTGTGGTGGCTATAGCACCCCCACCATATACCCCACCCTGAGCATAGACCCAGGCCAGCCCCCCTCCCACCCCTGCCGGGAAGAGCCCAGCACAGCCTCTGGCTCCAACACACAGTAGCAGCCTGCCCTCACCCCGTACAGATCTGGGGGGCATGTGCCCCCCATGTCTCCCCCAGGGTGCATGCAGTGGCAGGAACCGTCCTTCCCTGCCCCCCTTCCTCCCATGAGCCACTTGCAACTCCATCCCATGCCCCACTCCCTCCTTCACCATGGGGGCCTCAATCTGACCCCCTACACCCCTTCCTTCCCTCACCCCCCGACTTACTAGCAGGATGCTGTTTTCTAGGCTGCTGGCTGCATATCAGCAATTGGATCAGTATTGGCCAATATGGTTGGTTAATAATCGGCCATTGATATTGAGCCAAAAAATCTTTATCAGTGCACCCCTAATATTTCCTAGTATAATTTTTGTGATGTACAGTTTGTTGGGGTGTACTGTTATTACCTTTTGCTTCATTCACTTATAATTCCTGTCTCTGAAATGTAGAGGAAGAGAAATGTTTTGTATGTGGTGAACCATGAAGCTTTTCTTTTGATATATTAAGTGTCTTGCCAATATTTCTTCATATTCAAATATTAGAACCCCTGGTGGATTCTTCATTGTATTAACTACTGATGATGGTCTTCTTTTTTAGAGCGAAAATGGCATTTTTCACCCGACCTAGGATAAATATTCCAACTCTCTCTGCGGATGATGTTTAATCACCATAAAGTATTTGTTTCCTCTGACCATTCTACAAATGCAGTTTGACTTTGCTGAAGTTATTTATGTGGTATTATGAAGGTACCCAGTCATTTGTACATTAGAGCATTCATCAGTTTAACATCTAGAGATTTTTAATATTGTTCTATCATTACAAAAACCAGCATTAAAGTGACAAGATTGTATAGTTTGTATATTTAGGAATGTATTTTTGGGAAATAGAATTTTAAATAGGAACAAATGCAGCCTAAAGGGCTGTTTATTCTTAAATAATGCTCTGTTTAGACTTTTTGTACAGATCTTTTAGAGGTTTTACTGCAATAAAATAAAACTGAAGGAACCTCAGTCCTCTGGTCTATGGATATAACGTATCAAACTTCTCAGCTAAATATTTTGTACTATGTAGAGAATACAGGGAACCTTTTTTTTTTTTTATTCTAAAGTGCTGTGAAAGAATACTCTGTGAGCTGTGAAGCATTTGCATTATCCTGCTAGGTCATAAAAATGGGTGTGGAGTTCAGAATACTTGCACTTTTTAATATTTTTACTTCAGCTCATGTTTGTAACGGATCTGTTAACATAAGTTTCAAAAGCCTATTGAAACCACTGCTGTGGGATGAGGGCTGCAGGGGAACATAAGTCAATTTTAGGTTTTCTTTTTTCTTTCCTTACCCCCTCCCCCAATAAAGAGATCTTTCTGGATGAACCTCCTTCTCACTTTATTTTTTTTGTTTAACAGTTGATTCACTGAGGAGCAGCTGTCTCATCCCTTTTCTAATCTACTAGCTTGAAATGGTGGTTCTTCCTTTTTTTTAAATTGTTTTCATCCTGGGTGCCTTTTAGCAAGTGAGTCATTGGAACGTAAGCTCCAAAGCCACTTGGGTGCTTTCAAAGATCTTCCACCTACCTATAAAGAAAGTTGCCTAAGGAATATTTTAAAAATATTTTTCTACAATGTAATAAACAAAGTGGGGAGGGGACACAGAAAGCAAATACTTGCAAAAGCACCAATATTCCAGCATATAACCATCCTGTTAGCAAATCTCAAATTATGTTGTATGGTAAACTGCTTCTCAGCTTGTCATTGATTCATTTGTGCAAGCAGTTTTCTTTTTAATCCACTTCTGATGTTCAGATGTAGGCATTTGGTTTATATCTAACAAATTAATCCATTTTAAGACTAAATGAAGCATCTCCATAAAAATTTGGATTTAGTGTATCAAACATTATTCTATTTTTCATAGTATTAATATACTGTTTTTTTTCTCCGTAAGTTTATGGATTTTTAAAAAGACTTTATATCCTCTTGTATTGTTAACTCACTCTGGACTTTTAAATGACTGGGTGAACAGATACTCGAAAGAGCAGAGCATTGCCAGTTTTGTGTAGTGTCTATCCTATGATATAGTGATATGAGTAAGCTTAGATTTGCCCAGTTTATACAGTCTCGAGAATCATGCAACAAATGTGTCCAAAAGGAAACACAACTTCCACTCCAACCTGAACTGCACATCACAGCTACAAAAACCAGTGTTGTGCTACAGGGAGAGAACACCACAAAGGCTTTTGCCAGAACAGTTAGTTTAATATTAATTTTTGTTACACTGTTGTTTTCAGTGTACAAAAATTAGCCTGACTTTTGTCCTGATTCAGGGTGGTGGGAAGATTTTAGATCTCTAGCTTTTTCAGGATTGGACACCTTTCCACCGAGCTCCAGTTCCAAGTAAATAACTTTAACTAGGACTGCACGGATATTGGCTATATCTATATAGTCCTATAACAACATGCAACCTAGGGCTGAATTCTGACAGAAGGTTCTACGAATAATCCACTTGCTTGACAGAGAGTATGTATGGACAAAACTCATGGAGCTTGATCAGTCCCCATTACATTCAGTACAGTTTTCCAATTTATTTTAGTGGGAGTAGAATAAGGCCTTCATTGAGGACAATAGAATGCATTTCACCTAATCAAACAAGCTACATGTGCTTGGTGAAAGATTTTATATGAAGTGTTCATGTCCACTTGGTAGAATAAACAAGGAGACTGGATGTTGCTGCTAAACTCAAAAACTCTTAAAGTTTTCAATGCTTGTATTAACTATGAAAAGCATCTACTCTATTGCTGTACTCTACACAAGTGAATTAAAATGAAGGATAGAAGTTATTTTGTCCAGAAATACTCTAGTTACTACCGAAGTAATCACAGTACTAGCTACTTTGATGTAAAGCACTTGGTAAGTTTAACCTTCTGACAATATTCATATGAATAAGCTTTATTGTGCTGCTCTTTTACTACTATACTTTCTCACAAACTCCTCTTGTAAACTGCCTTTAGAGCAGTAAAGTGATTCCAACATGATATAAATGGGGGAGGGGGAGGGAAAGGGAATCCAACAAAGACCAGACTAAATCAAATTATTAACTGTATGTGAACACACTTCCCCAAAGATTTCAGAACTCAGGATTTTAATACTCTCCCTGTGAAACACTGGATGGAGTTTGCACATCCTACACAATGGAATGGGTGAGGAAAAGCATAGCATGTGCATCTGCTCAGTGGGGACAGGGCCAGAACAGTGGCTTGAGCATAGTTGTCTTTCACTTTCACTTGTCTTCCCCATTATGTCAGCTGCATTGCAAAGCCTGAAGTGCTGATTTTAACATTGGTCTTACTGGTGAACAGGAACATCCTCACTTTATTTTGACAATCCTCAACAGTCACATCAAGCAAGTCATGAACTAGATTACAGTGACTAGAACTATATACAGGAAGAGAGATTTAGAGCTAGATTAAATGCATTCACCTAGGCACAATTACCAGCAGGCTTAATGAAGCACTTGATTGACATATATTTCATTAGGGTCCCTAGACAGATCAGAAAAGTAAAAGGCTTTCCCACTGCTCAATTATGCAGTGGCACAAAGAGAATGAATTTGATGTTTTACTTCATTTAAGAATTGATTTGTGAGAGATGCACCAAAATCAATGCATAAATTGGAACTCCTAAACTGATTGGAAGTAAAATTTTACTTCCTAATATAATGATTATATCTATACTCACCACTCATTCACATGTAGCAACTGTGAGTGTCATAACTTGGAACTGTTGCTGTAAATAAGGTAATTATACTAGATGAATAGACTTCAAAGGTAAATCAAGCCTGCCTTAAGGCTGTCAGAGTTTGTAATAATTATATAGTAAATAAAAATCACCCTGGGTTTGTTAACTATTTGGATACTGCAGATGTTGTCCTAACTATCATAAGGCTTACTTTTTAAGCATTTGATGAGTGCAGGCTTACAGAAACTTATGCATGTCTGATTTGGTTTTATAAGGTGCATCTCTACCCCGCCTTTCTGCTTAAATTTTACGTGTCATGAGCATCTCTTTTAAGTTGAGTTAAGTTTCCCAGATACAAATAACCATTTGTAAATCGGTAGCATGATAATACAAGTGTTATCTATATTTGAGAAGTAGGCATGCTGGGACAACTTAAATTGTAATTTGTATTGAACGCACACACAAAGCACTGTACTGAATTGCAAATTACCTAGTCTACCTCCATAAAAACACTTGCTGGTGGCTGGATCTTGATTTCTAACCACATCATCCTAATACCAGCAGATACCGGAAGTGACAAACTTAGGGAAACTTTGGCTACTGCCAGACACTCATTTAAAGGCACAATGGGATCAGATTCCCTGATCCCAGCAATCACAGCCCCTGACATGCCACGCTTTTGCTTGGTAGGAGGTACGACTGTGGAATCTGGGCTTGGATTCCAGTTGAGCCCTGTTCCTGATGTGAGAGCCCAGGTTCATGACAGGCAAGCAGCAAGGTGCCAGGTGCCTGCTGCACTTGTGCTTGGGACTGCCAGTGAAGTGATAGGTGTTCCTAGCTGGGGGGGCTACGTGTGGAGCCTTGCAGCGCTTTGGTGTGCACCAGAAGCTGGGATTAGCCATCAGCTCCTCTACCCTATCAGCCTTGGGCGAACACCTTTGGTCTCCCATTGCACTTAAGGTGCAACGGGGGAGACAAGTGCTGTGTAATCATGTTGTGGCTCATTCAGTTTTATTGCAGCAGTGAGGCCATGGACATGGGGCGGGTTACTAGTAAGATGCGACTCCAGGGGCCTTCCAGACGCTGAGCTGCTGCTGCTCTACTTAAAGCCAAGGCTCCCTTGCTGGGGAGCAGCAGCCTACTTCAGGTATCCGGGGAAAGTGAGCGCTTCGGACGGGTCGGCAACGTTTCTGGGCAGTGCCAAAAACACCTACAACTTCGGCTTGTACGATGTTGGCGGCCGGGGCGGACAGCGGGGGAGCCGACGGGCCGATCGATCCTCGTGACAAAACACCGTCGTGCCCCGCTCTGGCGCCGGGCGAGGGCTGCCCACCCTGCCCCAGGGCGAGGCTAAACCGCAGCCGCTGCTCTCGCCCATAGCGCAGCGGAGGGGCCGGTGCGCCCAGTGCAGCCCCCGGGGGCCGGGCCTGCCGAGCTCGACCTGGGCCGGCGCGCCGCGAGAGCCGGATCCACTGCCCAAGCTCCCGCCGCTGCCGGGCAAGCGGGGCCGTCCTCTCCGCTCCGCCGCCCGGAGGCTGCAGCCGCGACCCCGGCCCGAGGAACAACCCCGCGGAGACGCGGGCTCAGCACCCCCGCCTCCACGTGCGGCTTCCTGTAGCGTTCCTTCCTCTTCCGGCTCGTGGCGGCTTCCGCTTCCCGCACCGCCGCGGCCCCGGCGAGGATGGAGGCTCAAGTGGC